TCTCAACTCATTTGTTATTTGTGTTACCCCTTTTTCCATATTCACCTGAATTCTTTTGCTTTATTCAGGACTACTTAGTTGTCCTGCTTGATTCTGCACTAAGCCGAGGCGGGGCCCTCCCACCCTTTGCCATTGAATTTTCCTGCTCTTGCGAGGCGACTCGGTACGCCGGGGCAGCTACATTCCAGATTCTCTCTAACACTGGGCGCTTCGGAGACAGCCATCCTGTCGGTCGTAGCAACTGGTATACTTCATCACGGGCAACGCCTAACTCTGGTCATGAAGAGATCTTGGAAGAATCGAACCACAGATTGCTTTCAGCAAGCAATATGCTCTACAATTTTGCTGCTTGGCGGTACGCTTCACATTGGCATAACGTTCTGACAAGAGCTGGCCTTCGTCTGCTAGCTAACTGGGCCTACTACCGTAGCCATCAGGCCAGTCTAATTTTTTAGTTATAGTTGTAGATTTCCACAATAACTCAAGTTACTTTTACCTATCTCCTTATCAGCTTCCCTGCACTTGCATCTGCCTAGCCGATACTCTGCCTATGCTGTTTTATTAATACTAAGTTAATGCATTTTTTGCATACATGGATGCTCATATGACTCAAGTTATTATTACGTTAGCGTTCATTTGGTTTACACATGATTGTTAATTATGATCCTCTGTAGCAACAATTATTTCTTAAACACTTTTATTCTTGGCATTAAGAACAAATGTTCTCATATTTATTGGCTTCAATTTTCTTCATTTGCCCTTAGTGTTCACTAGGTGGTGTTGTTGAGGGAGTTGGAACTCATCAATCGATCAGTCTCAGTCCATTGCCCGTGGTCATTCATCCGATCGGCTGTCTCTCTGTTTGGCTTCACTTACTGTTTCGTTGGAATAGGCCCGCTAGAATGGTGAATGGTGGTGGCTATGCCTTCACAGCAGCTTACCTCAGGCGCATTCTGGGTCCCTGCCATGATAGTCGACTCAAACCTAACATCCGGTCAGTCATTATCGCTTTAATGTCCAATTTAATTCGCTTATAATTTGAATGAAAGTGTTTCGACCTCGTTTTCGTAACTTGGTCGTGTTTTCAATACGACCTCGATCAGCTTACCATCTCATGACTCCTTTGCCATAATAATCATAATCTCAAGCAGCGGATTTTGGACTTGGTGCATTCCTATATATTCAGCAAGCATCGATTACGAGCCTTACTATTCTTAGAGTCAAGCTATAATTCATCGAAGATACAAGTGGAATCTATACCCTGATCACCTTTCTGGTGGAAATTTGCTATCTATTTCCTCTCATCGTACATTCACATTGCTGTATCCTCAGTCCTTTACTCTCATAACTTCTTTGCTTGGTTATTCTAACCTAATCTAGAGATGTGCCCTTTAAGCGGATTTAATGAGATCTAATCATATTTTTCGCTGGTTTCCTCTTTCCCACTCCACACTTTTATTCCGCCATTTATTTCCAACTTCTATTAGTGTCTCCCTCGTGCCCTTAACAATTCATTTCTTATCTCCTTAGTTCATTGATTTTACTTATGCACTAACATAGTATCCTTGTTACTCTAGGCGTTATTTCCCATGATCTGCCCCATTTATTTAATTGCATGTATACCGCCTCAACAATAGAGCTTCCAAAATCTAGAATTTCAAGCTGGTTAATGAACTAACTGTACACTACATAAACTTAACTCAGTTCATCCCAAGGGCTAGGTTTGGTAACTTTCGGGCCACAGTCTTGACCAAGTTTGTCAAGGGATGGGTTTGGTGCTAGGGATGAAAAGGCTCTGGCAATTCCGGCCAAATGTCTAGGAATGCGCCAAGTCCATGACTCGACGCTGAAGATTATCATCAATACTGTTACAAAGGACTCTGAACTATGTATATTTGAGGTCTTCCATACAACATGACGAAGTACGAAAACGAGGTTAACCCATTTATATACATCGAAATGAGACTGCTACTCAAACATGGGCATGTGACTTTCTTTGTTTCTCCTCAAAAGTATTCACATGAGTATATAGTGTATATTTGGATGGGAAAATATGAATATTTTTTTAGACAAAGCTTATGCACTATTCTAAATAATCTCTTTTCTTTTAGATATTCTTTTTCACTATTCTCTATTTTTTCATCTTATCCCTTGACCGAACGTAATTACCTCCTGAAATTCTTTTTTCTTATTTAAATAACTCCCAATTATTGTAATTTTGATAGCTTTTTAATTTTTCTCTTTACAGTGGATTTCTCATAGGCCTTAAATAGTTGGGTTTTATAATATAATCTCATATTTTGTCTTAAATAATTTTTCGAACCGGCTAATCTATTATCTTCATCTCTACTACTATTTCACACAAAGGCCCACGTGGCCATTCAACAAATAGACGAATGACCATACGTTCTTATAAAGGCTTTCTTTCATTCAGAAATATGGCATTGTTGTAAAGAATATTGATGATTATTTAAACTTTGCTAATTTCAGATTTTCCGAATGTAATCATTACTATGTTTATAAGGCTTCTTCACTCCTTTTAACAAGATCCACCGAGTACTGCTCTTCACAAATCAACAGTTGCAAGAAAATACTCAT